GTACCTCCATGATCCATGCGGATGCTCCCCATTTTCGGTGGCTGTTTGCGGTCTGGTACGCTGTGCATCAGCTCAACCTCTGGCCCCGTGTCTCCTTGCCGGAGACCTCGCCCACACTGCGCTGGACGGGGGAGGTTGGCGATGCGCCAGTGTTCCGGGTCTGGGGTTCTCGTGCCTTTGTTCGCGATACGTCCGCGGACAAGCTCTCCGCCCGTGCTATCCCCTGCGTCTTCCTAGGCTTTGTCCCTGACGCGCCTGGCTGGCAGTTTTACCACCCCACCTCGCTCCGTGTCTTCCCTTCCCAGGACGTCACGTTTGACAAGGCGGTACCCTTTTACCGTCTCTTCCCCTACCGCTCTGCCCCTCCCCCGCCCCCGCAGCTCTTCCTTGCTCCCGGCCCCCCTGCGGTAGACCCCCTCCCGCCCCAGGGTCCTGCTCCCTCAGGTGTGTCTCAGGTAGACCCTCTCCCTCGTCCTGCGCTTGTTGAGGTAGCTGTTGTCTCAGGTGCTGCTCGAGGTGCTGCATCAAGGGGTGCTGTGTCTGGGGGTGCGGAGCCGGGGGGTACGGAGTTTGAGGGTGCTGGGTCTGGGGGTGCTGAGCCTGGGGGTGAGGAGCCTAGGGGTGCTGAGCCTGCGGGTGTGGAGCCAGAGGGTGTTGAGCCTGGGGGTGCTGAGTCGGAGGGTGCGGAGTCTTGGGGTGCTGAGCCTCGAGGTGCTGCTTCGTCTGGCGGTCCTGCTGGTGCTTCGCCGCGACTGTCTCCGCAGCAGCTGCGTGAGTGGTTTGTTCGGCGCGCGCGTCGTCGGAGTGGAGCTACCGGAGCTGGAGGTGCTGGAGTTACTACTGGTCCTGGAGGTGCTCGTACCAGGGGTACTGGAGCTGCCGGGACTGGTGGTGTTGAGGGAGCTGGAGCTGGAGACCCTCTGAAGCTTGGAGCTCCTGGAGCTGGAGGAGCTGGAGCTGGAGGCGCAGGAGCTGCAGCAGCTGGAGCTGTTGACCCTGGAGCTGGAGGTGCTGGAGACACTGCGCGGCCGCGACCATACTTCGTTCCCCTGCTTCAGCAGGTTCTTGGTGTCCCGTCTTCTCCTAGCCTTACTCCTCCCCTCCTGTGTCCACCACCTGACCAGTCGCAGCTGCCGTTGCAGCCGGCCTCTCCACTGCCTGCTCCCTCTCCTTACACTGAGCAGTCCGGCGATCTTACCGAGCATCGTGTCTCGTCCTGTCTTGCCTGTTCGCACTGCTCGTCGCGTTCCTTGTTCGCCTCCTCCTCCTTTCCTTGGCACGCACGCTATGACCCTTCGTCCTTCCTCTGTTCCACTGCGTGTTCCTCTGCCTGCTCCTCCTGAGTCCTCTCTTCCTAAGGTCCCTGACCCTGCGTGTGACCGCGCTCGTGCTGCCGGTCCCTCTGTCGCTCGTCTCCTCGCCACTGCTGTCAGTGTCCCTTCCTTTGAGTCTGCTGCTGCGTCTGCCCTTGTTGCTGAGCTGCTTGACTTTGCTGCTGCCTGACGTCTCGACTACGCCACTGCTCTTGTTGTTGAGTCTGAGTCTGCCAGTCCTCCGTCCGTCGGGGGTGAGTGTGCTCTTGGCACGGACGTCCTTGAGGACAGGCAGGAGGACTTTGAGTGTCTTGCAGCTGCTGTACCTCGTTTCGCTTCCATGCTGCTTGCCCCTGAGGGAGACCCGGAAGCACCAGACATCCCGACCCCGTGCTCTTACGCAGAGGCGATTACGGGTCCTTACTCCTCTCAGTGGCAGGCAGCCATGGATGCCGAGATGGCATCCTGGAAGTCCACAGGCACCTACGTCGACGAGGTTCCCCCACCTGGGGCGAACATAGTCGATGGCATGTGGATTTTCAGGGTGAAGCGGCCGCCAAGTTCTCCGCCTACCTTCAAGGCGCGTTACGTTGCTCGAGGTTTCAGTCAGCGACAGGGGGTTGACTTCTTCCAGACCTTCTCTCCCACCCCAAAGATGACCACTCTTCGGGTGTTGCTGCACGTCGCTGCTCAGCGTGACTACGAGTTGCACTCTCTGGACTTCAGCACAGCTTTCCTGCAGGGTAGCCTGCACGAGGAGATCTGGCTGCGCCGCCCACCTGGCTTCACTGAGTCGTTTCCTGCAGGTACCCAGTGGAGCCTCCGGCGGCCAGTTTACGGTCTCCGCCAGGCACCTCGCGAGTGGCACGACACACTGAGGACTACACTTGCGGCTCTTGGGTTTGCTCCTTCTACTGCTGATCCGTCGCTGTTTCTACGCACCGACACCTCGCTGCCGCCGTTCTACGTCCTCGTGTACGTCGACGACCTCGTCTTTGCCACTGCTGACACTGAGGCACTGACCCTTGTGAAGTCGGAGCTGCAGAAGAGACACACCTGCACTGACCTGGGTGAACTGCGCAGCTATCTTGGCTTGCAGATCACCCAGGACAGAGCACGGCGCACCATCACCCTGACTCAGTCACACATGGTGCACCAGGTCCTTCAGCGCTTCGGCTTCCAGTTCTCCTCGCCACAGCCCACTCCTCTGTCTACCAGCCACTCGCTCTCAGCTCCACCTTCGGACGAGTCCGTAGAGCCGAGTGGTCCATACCCAGAGCTTGTGGGTTGCCTCATGTACCTGATGACGTGCACACGACCTGACATCGCGTACCCTCTCAGCCTTCTGGCTCGCTACGCGGCTCCCGGTAGGCACCAAAAGGTGCACTGGGATGCTGCGAAGAGGGTACTGTGCTACTTGTGCAGTACGTCAGGCATGGGGCTAGTGCTTGGAGGACGGGGTCCAGTTGTCCTCACTGGTCACGCAGACGCTTCCTGGGTTGACGACTCAGCTACGCAGCAGTCGTCACAGGGTTACACCTTCAGCCTCGGTTCCGGCTCGGTTTCCTGGCGGTCTACCCGCTTGTCTTCGGTTCTCAGCTCCAGTTGTGAGGCTGAGATCTACGCCGGGGCCATGGCTGCACAGGAGCTACGCTGGCTCACCTACCTGCTGACTGACGTGGGAGAGCAGCCTCGTTGCTTATAGCACGGAGTGAGGTGGCCCACGGAGAGCACTGCTGGTGGCTGTCACTACCGGTGCTGCTGGCACTACCGGCACTATTGTGGGCGGCTGTTAAGTTCTGTGGGCGGTTGGGAGGGGCTGTCAGTTGCTGTGGGCAGCTGAAAGTTGCTGTGGGAGGGGCTGTGAGCAGCTGGAACTTGCTGTGGGCGCCTGGGAGGGGCTGGCGGCGAGCGTAGTTGCTGGCGGCAGGCTGGCTGGCGGCTAGCGTAGGTGCTGGCGGCTAGCGTAGGTGCTGGCGGCTGGCTGGCTGGCTCTGCTTGCCTGTGGCTGGCTGTGGCTAGCTCTGCTGCTACTGCTGGCGGCTAGTTTAACTGCTGGCGGTTGGCAGCAGTGGGAGTAGAGAGTGCGCCTGCTGCTCGTGGGCCGCGGCAGTGGCGCATGCAGGCGCTGCAGGTGCTGGCATTTGCTGCGCGCGCGGCTGTTGCTGTGCGCACGGTGGTGACGCGCGCGGCTGGAGCTGTGCGAGCGACTGCAGCGCGTGCGGTTGCTACTGCGTGCGCAGCTGCTGCGTGTGTGCGTGGTGGCAGCCTAACGGCGGGGCGCACTCTGCCTACGGCGGGCCTCGTCCTGCGTGGCCTATAGCGGGGCGTGCGCTGCTACCAAGGTCGCGACCTAGGGAAACGGGCCTGGATGGGGTCGCGCGACCTAGGGAAACGGGACAGTGGGAGTCACCACGGCGGGCTGAGGACCGCTCACTGGCTGGAGGGAGTAAGGAGGGAGGGAGAAGCTCTAGGAGTAGGATGCAAGTTAGGCCTAGGAAGTTTCCTAGCGTGATACCATCTCAGAGAAGAGCGGAATAAATGCATTAGGTCAAAGGGGAGGGGGTACAAGGAGAGTGTCGAGTGAAATTGTGTACCCCCTAGGATGTAACTCACTAGAGGCTAAATGTCTATATAACATAACTTTGACATGAGGCTAGAAGTCGAGGGGAGTGAGGGAGCCCGGGGAAGGGGGTGGGCTCGGCCTCGGGGGGGCGGGGTGGGCAGGAGAATGGGATCGCAAGCGGAATCTCTATGTACAATCCGGTATTGACGGTTTCACACAAATAGAAGATTGCATTTCTGATCAATCAGATGAAGCATAAAACCGACGTAATGACTTTTTGCAGTACAAACAGGCTAACAACAATTACACCCTGGTACAATCAGTGTATCAGATATTTTAGGCTACTGCCATCAGTGTACGAAAAATATTACTTTAGGGGTTAGGGTACTGGGGGCCTGGAACCCTGATTTGCAAGAGCGAACCAATTTTGGGCCCTGGAGCCAGCATCAGAAAGAACCGAGTTACCTGATTGCTCTTCCCACTGCTCCTGACACCTACCGTAGCTAGATCAGTATTGGCTAAGCTAGCATTAGTAATCAGTTACCTGATTGCTCCCCACTGCTTCCCAATGCTATATCAGTGAGTCAAGATCAGTACTCAGATACCTGATTGCTCCTCCCCACTGCTCTCCACTGCTCCCCACTGCTCCCCACTGCTCCCCACTGCTCCCCACTGCTCCCCACTGCTCCCCACTGCTCTCCACTGCTCTCCACTGCTCCCCACTGCTCCCCTCTGCTAGATATGTGTTCAACGACCCGATTGATCCCTGTTTGACTCCTCTCCATCCATGCTCCCAATAGCTTCCAACACTGCAGCCAAATGTAGACTTGGTTGAGCCACGATCAGTACTCAGTTACCTAATTGGTCCTTTCTAATGCTTGATCAGTCTGATTTTCTTGATCAAACCCGCAATTCAGTTCACAGCCCTTGTGCTCCACATTTGACTCCTCTTCACCTATGTTCCCAATAGTTTCCAGCTGTACTGCCAAGTCAATCCATGCTCCCAATAGCTTCCAGCTCAGCTCCGTAACGACAGCCCAACCCCCCTCTCCTCTGTTAGCTCGTCCACCTTGACTGCTGCACTCAGCTCCCAGTTGGACTCCTAGTCCATGCATCTCTATTTATTCTTCCTCTTCATCCTCCATGCTCACAATAGCTTCCAGCTCTGCACCCAAGCTCTTCCTTAACGAAATTCCGATCCGCCTCTCCTTTGCTAGCTCATCCACCTTGACCGCGGCACTCAGCTCCTCCTTCCCCACCACCTCGTGCCTGATTCCCCGCAGCTCGCTGGCAACGTATGACATGTTGGGCCGGCTGGCAGTGCGCTCGGCAGTGCAGGAGAAGGCCAGCTGGGCGAGGCGCAGCACAGCATCATCCGGAGCGTCCATGTCCATTTCCTTGAGGCCACCAGAGTTGTTGGCAGAGATGCACTCCTCCACCTGACACACACATAGTTGGCAGCAAGGGGTGGCGTTGAACAACAAGAGGGCCCACCAGGCGCAGCACAGCATCATCCGGGACGTCCATGCTCGGGTCCTTGAGGGGAGCCGGGTTGTTCGAGGAGATGCAGTCCTCCACCTGACAGGAGGGTGTCTGACAAGAGGGTAGCTGAGGCATGTTGAATTGATGGGACAGGGTGAGTGGAGATGGGAACAGGTTCAGGGGAAGGCGCAGCACAGCATCATCCGGGGCGTCCATGCTCAGGTCCTTGAGGGTGGTCGGGTAGTTGGAGGAAGTGCAGTCTTCCACCTGACACACACATAGTTGGCAACAAGGGGTGGTGTTGAACAGCAACAGGGCCCACCAGGCGTAGCACAGCATCATCCGGGGCGTCCATGCTCTCGTCCTTGAGGAGGGCCTGGTTCTTAGAGGAAATGCGCCCCTCCACCTGACGGGATTGGAGGTGAGTGGGGATGGGGACGGGGACAGGGAAGATGCAGCACAGCATCGTCTGGGGCGTCCATGCTAAGATCCTTGAGACTGTTAGAGCAGAAGCACTGCTGCGCCTGATGGATGGAGGAGTGGAACAAGATGGATGGGGTTGGGAACAGGGGCAGGTGGGTGGGGTGGGGTTGGGAACTGGGCCGGACGCAGCACAGCATGGTCCGGGGCGTCCATTCTCAGGCCGGCAGGGTTGTTGTCAGCATTTTGAGGCGCCTCAAAATACACCTCCCAGCAGGGTTGTTGTCAGCATTTTGAGGCGCCTCAAAATACACCTCCCGGCAGGGTTGTTGTCAGCAGCAACGCATTGCTCCGCCTGGAAAACGATAAACAAGGCAGCACACACGATTTTTAGACGCCTCAAAAGTTGCAGGTGGAGATGGTGGAGGGGAGCAGCAGCGTGTTGCGTAAGTACCCAACATTTTTTAGATGCCTCAAAAGTCGCTCGCAGGTGGAGAAGGTGGAGTGGAGGAGAGCTGCAGCGTGTTGAGGAAGTACTGAGCACGCAGGATGCGGGTACTTACTCACTCACATAGAAGCAGCACAAAAGCAGTGCAAAAGCGGCGATTATTCACAGGAAAATGTGGCGGAGTACTGAACACGCAAGATGCGGGCAATTACTCATTCACAAAGAAGCAGCAAAAAAGCTGCAGCAACTACCCATTGCAGAATGCAGCCGTTCTTCCCATCTCCAAAAAAAGGCTGCTTGAAACGATCCCATGTTTCACAGCGACATGTCACAAAGAAGCAGCACAGCAGCAGACACCTACCCATTGCAGAATGTGGCCGTTCTTTCCATCACCGCTGCTTGAATCAATCCCATGTTTCACAGCGACATGTCACAAAGAAGCAGCACAGCAGCAGACACCTACCCATTGCAGAATGTGGCCGTCCTTTTCACCATCGGACGTGTGGGGGCTGTGACCGGTGAGCACCACAAGCATGAGCACCCCGAAGCTGCGCACACGCAGAGGGCACAACAAGGTGGGGGGAGGTGGAGGGGGGAAGGGAATGAACACTATCAAGGGCGGTTTTGTGGGTACGCATGAGCAAAACCCAAATACGAACACGTTTGGGTCGTCCATGTTGAGTCGAACACCTCATGTGGTGTTTGAGTGTTCAACAGAAGTAGAACACTAGCATGTTCACCCCGAACATTAGCATGTTTGCGGCGAACATGTTTGTGTTTGGTTCAAATTGTACTTTCATTACAGTCACACAACATTCCCGTGTGCGAAATCTAAATGGGTTTACTAGCAAAATGGGTGTTCGAACAAATCTGAAATCGAGGCACCCTTTCCTCCCCACCTGCTTCATATATGCCAGTGCCAGGTCGTGCGCCGATCTGACGACAAAATGCCCGATCCATACAGTTCTGATGGCGAAATGGCCGATACGCATGGATCTGACGGCAAAACGTCGCGAATCGGTGTTGACAAGAAGACCCCGCCCCCGCTTGGGCAAAGTCGGCCTCGCTGTGTGGTAGACAAAGGTGTGTAGCCGGTTGCGTTTCGTGGTCGACGGCGACTTCGGTTCAGGATACTGTTCTCGAAGGCTCCGTCGACGATATTAACTCGTCGGTGTCGGCGGACTTTCGAGGTGACGATAGTGAAAGCCCACAAGGAGCTGGTTGACGGAATTAAGTCGACGGTGGCGCCAAGTCTCACCGGCCGACGAAAGCAATCACCGGCGGGGAGCAGTCCGACGGAATCAATACTGACGGCGGTGTCGGCTGAGCGGCGTATTTCTGGTAGATTGGAATTACTGGTCAGCGAAATTATGCATGTGCGCGAATTTTGCCCCAGGAGGTTTTGGCGAAAGTCGACCTGCGGAATCGGCATCATGTGCTCTAGAAACTGGCACCTATGCAATGTGGATCCCGTGGACGACGTGCTCGTAACCGTGTGTTGAGCAGACTTGCACCTACTTTTGTAGGTGACGCACATGTGCGAGGGGTTCACCTGCAGATGCATCGTTGGCACCTTAGTTAGTGCAACGTAGGCAAGCCGCCTTGCTGCAGCGCTGGCAAACCGCCTTCCTGCTGAATGACAAGTCGCCTTGCTGCTGGGTGACAACAACACTGCTAAAATATCCCTTGCAAAATATAGTGTTGAACTGAAGAATAAGTTAAGCCTACTAATCATCCTACGAACAGTACTACCAAAGTCTCATGGACAACGCTACATAACCGCGCGAACTGTGTGGTTTCCGCGCGTAGTCCTCTGCAGCCGCGCGCGTTGCTCTACGCAGCCGCGTGCGGCTGCTGATGCACTGTGACAAATCGGACCCTGGCTGATGCAGGACAGATTGCGTCAATCTAGGCTTCCAGTTAAGTTACTTCGTCAAAGAATCTGCAGTAGTTGTAAGGCTTAGGTCTAAGACTAGATCTGGTTAGTCGCAACTAGATCTGAAGTTGGGGGGGTTCGAAATGTCGACCCCCACCCCAATCATCTAAAATATGGAGTGACATTTGCGGGTCGCGTTCCACCCGCAAACGGGTTGGGTCAACCCGGCCATTTTCCCAGTAACGACCCGTATACGGAATGTGCCGTTCCCCCCCTACGGGTCGCACGGGTTGGCCCGTCCCATTCGAATGGGGTTAAAATGGGTCACGGGTCGGACCCGTCTAGGACAGGTCGACCCGTACCCGCGGGTCGGCATGTCTTGGCAATCCGACCCGTCCCGCCAAAAAATGCGGGACGGGACAGGTCGACCCGACCCGTCGGGTCTTATGCCCATGTCTATAATCTACTCCTGTTGTAGGGTGACTCTCCGCAACTGGCACTCGTCAAGGTGAAATAGATTTAAGTGTAGATGAGCGATAGAGGACGAAGTAGGTGGCAGTAGGCTTGAGCAAAATCTTGAACACCTGTTCAGTTCGCCTCGAACATGTTCGAGGTGAACCGAACTATTTTTTTTTTTTCGCCTAATTCGTTCGGGGCGAACATGTTCGGTGTTCGGCCGAACATGTTCGCCGTTCGCCACCTCCATTTGGCGAAGGAAAGACGAACACGAACACGTTCGTGTTCGATTTGGGGGGCAGGCGAACACCAAAGTCTTCGCGTCAAAATTGGCCGCGACCTAAATTTAGGTCGCGGCCGTTTTGAGTTTGAGCTCATTTCTTGAGCTCAAACTCAAAACGACTTTGGCGCTTAGCCCTCCCTCCCACAACCGCCATAGCCTTGCGGTTTTAAGAGCCATCGCACACCGTTCCTTAACTTTTACACTGACATTTCATCTAACTAGTTAATAGTGTAGGGTAATTTCAGAAACACTAAGGGTTGGTAGCTACGGGATCAAGCTTGTAGAGGTGAATTCTCTAGTTTCTGACCTGTGTGAAAATCGCTTTCTGACCTGTGTGACTATATCGAATATCTCCCTGGGCGAACACGAACATGTTCGCCTCGAACATGTTCGTGTTCGCCTGCTGCAGCAATTCGTTCGCCTCCTAGGGCGAACGGCGAACACCAATTTTCGCCCAAGTCGTTCGCCGAATCGAACACTGTTCGGTTCGGCCGAAGTCGATGTTCGAGAAAGGGCGAACTCGAACATGTGCGAGTTCGCCCCCTGCTCATCCCTAGGTGGCAGAGCTAGAGTGAGGGTGAGCTCAATGAGCTCTATTTCTCTAGTCGACAAAAGTCAAATTTGCTGCCTCTGACTTCGAGTCTCGCGACCAACGAGTCAATGTGGAATATGTTCATCACAACCAATGTCGAACACGAATGTGTTCATGTACGACGCGGCTCAGTTCTCTGCGACGAACCGAACATAAACATGTCTGGGCGAAACAGAATCGGCAAACAGTTTAAGAATGCGTCATGGCGAACCTAACAGATTTTTTTGTTCTATTGATCAAGGCTACTGTGGGGTACAAATGTAAACCACAAAACGTAGAATCTGTAACATCGCTCACCTGAAACATCGGTGGTTGCCTTGGATGTTCTGTGAGGCGTCTCAAACATAGCTCACCTGTAGACATCGATGGTTGCCTTGGATGTTCTGTGAGGCGTCTCAAACATAGCTCACCTGTAGACATCGGTGGCAGTGGTGGCCTTGGACGTGAGTGAGTAGATGGGATCCACATAGCCTGGTGTTCCCATGACCCAAGTCGTGCCCACAGTGGTGCCCTCGCCCAACCTCAACAGCCCAAAATCGGCGATCTTGGCCTGTCGGATGGAGTAATGATTGAAACACGGGCAAAAAGCAAGATAGGGGAAAAAACAATTAATGCTCTGAGTTGATCACTTACATAAGCAAGGTGCAACAAATCCATATGTACACAATCTTAAAAAGGGAGTACTAAAGTCACGATGGTGTGTTCTTTGGTAAAAGGGGCAGTGGAAAAGATGCAATCTGCTTCACCAAAAACAAACATTTCAAGAAGCACAATGGTAACTGTTGTGCTTATCCAACAAGTGATATCGGAGCCAAAGTTTCACAGTGGTAACAGCTGGGGTTCCCCAGATCCTTAGCTCCGATATCACTTGTTGGTAAAGACTAGGCTCCCTGGTTGTACTTGGCCTAAGTCGAGACACGATCCATTGCTCAACTGTAAGGTCGATCAACATTCTTCCCAACATTCTGCCTTTTATAGTGTGGATTTGACATCAAAGTTGTCATAGTAGTATTGTTTCACTTTTGTTGTCTGGGGTGCATGTTTATGTGCTCCCTCGCTTGCCTGCATCTTCGCTCCGAGAAGAATGTTGGGGGGCTTGATGTCGCGATGCACAAGGCCAAAGCTGTGGAGGTACTCAAAGCCATGTGCCGCACCAATGAGGATGTCCAGCCGCTGCTGGAAGGTGAGAGAGACGGACGCCTCTGCACACATGCACACAATAAGAGAGGAAAGGACATGAGAGTGACAAGATATGAATCACAAAAATTGGGTGGCACAATGAATGACACAACATATGCAGTACACGTTTAGAAAAGAAGTTGAATCGAAATACTTCAATTGTTACTTGTCAATGTCGAGTGAAAAAGAGCGAATCATGATTTTATCCAGCTCGTTTCCTCGTGTACAGATAAAGTTCAATGTTCGGAGCAAAGTCTCTCCATTATTATAGTGTTCAGTAGAAGAATATAGGTTGGTCGAAAAAAAAGAACGTGGTGCGTACCCTTCGTAATATACTGGCCAAGGTCGCCGTTGGGAGCAAACTCGTAGATCAAGATTTGCTCTGGTCGTGTCGTCATGTCCCCTCCAACAGCAAACCCAAGCAGCCGCACGATGTTGGGATGGTTCTTGTCGGCCATTTGCAGGACCTGCGAGAACAACATGGCATGACGGGGGGAGTAGCAATCGTCAATGGAATGGGTTTCCCATGAGAGAGGCATGCCATGGAGGGGAGGAGTGGCTTTTGGAATGTCTCAAAACGTATGCCACGTGTTGAAAGCGGATTAAAAAAAGTGATATTTAACAATCATATCCCTAGCTAATGAGCCCATAGCCCATATAGTGCCGCCTCACCTCCCGTTGGAGATCCACGTCAAAAAGTTTGGCTCGCTTGACTGCCCACAGGGTGGTGCCATCGTGTGGACACACGCCCTTGTACACGTCACCAAAGGTACCCGAGGCAAGATGGTTGTCTAGAGACCAGTTGCTGGTGGCTTTGAGGACTTCCTCAAGAGAGTACTCCGTGCAGTGAGTGCCCCGTATGTTGCGGGCCCATCCTGTAAGGGTTTCACATGTAAGGGATGAGGGTTGGAAGTGTGGTGAGGGATGGAGGGGGTGAGGAGTGAACGTGTTGAGCTTGAATCGGTGTGTGGAAGCAGCAGAGGCATGTAGCAACCCACATTAGTTTAAGGAATCTCAAAGAAAGCTGGCCAGGTCCAGGCGGGTATAACTGACTTCCAAGGCGCCTCAGAAGATTTTTGTTTTCTTCTTATTTTTCCTTTTATTGGCAAAAACCCGAATAGTGTTAATGATATGACATAGAGGGAGGCAGAGAAGGAAGTGAATGCATCTACCTGCTGCTTGTTGTGCCGCTTCCCTACGCAAAATTCTTGAAAGTAGAAGGATTGGCTTGAGAGAGAGGTGGACTGATGGAGGACTCTACCTGACTCTATCTTGCTACTCTTTCCCCAT